TCACAAATCGTATATTTGACATTTATCCTAGCCGAAAAATTCTTTTTCTAATCTCTCTATCTCTTTCTATCTTTCTTTCTCTTTTTACCTATCTTTATATATATATATATATAAAATATATATATATAAATACATTTATAAAAAATTTTAAGCCATTGATATTATGGCGCGCACTCATCCTTATCTGAACAATTTTCCTTCACACATTGCCAATAAAAATAATAATAAATATAAAAAAGAAAAAAAGAAGAAACACATAAAAATCTCTTTCTATGTATATACGTGGTAATAAACATAGTAGTCGCTAAGCTTTCCTCGGCAATTAGAATCGCTATCGATGCTTTCTATGTTCGCTGCTACAAATTGCGTTTCATTTATTCCTTCAACATAAATAATATTAAATAATTCGTTCGTATATAATCTTATAAAATTAGATATATATATGTTTTAAAATTATCCTTGAATTGGATGAGAGATAAAAATTAGAAGACACGCACGTAACGCACTTAAGTATTCATTTGCTTGTATTATGAATATTGAATACTTATAATCATCAGAGCATGTAACGGTGTTTAACGCTTTTGCTATGATTAAATTTTAGATGCACAATAACGATTCGATCACGTATCAAAAAAGAAAAAAAAAGAAAAAAAAAACCAACCAACAACAAAAATCTCTTTGCAAAGCCTACTTCTGACCATTTTCTCATCATCACTACCATCACCATCACCGTCACTACCAAAAAGATCCAAGTTCCGAGAGGATCCATCCCTTAAGCTGTTATCGCGTGTCGCCGAAAGAAAAGACCGTTGAAAAACACGGCATTCGCATTCGCATGCAGCATTAGTGGTCGAGGAATAGATCCAATGGGCTCGTGTAATCTTGTTATTTTCTAGTGATACGTTTATTCAAGCTCAACAACAATTAGCCCGGTGGACGAGTGAGGAGGGGGTACAGCACCGACCACCACAACAACCGCCACCACCATCATCCGCGCTTACCACGGCACCCGTGCAGTTGCAGCAGCAGCAACAGCAACAACACCATCACCACCATCATCATCACCAGCAACAGCAACAGCAACAACCATCACCACAGCAGCAACAACAGCAGCAGCAACAGCAGCAACAACAGCAACAACAGCAGCAGCAGCAACAACAGCAACAACAGCTGCAGCAGCAACAACAGCAACAACAGCTGCAGCAGCAACAGCAACAGCATCAACTGCCGTTGGAACAACTGCCAATTAAGCAGCGAGGTTATTATCCATCCCCACCGTTAAATGACAACAGCAGCAGCAACAGCAGCGTCCTCGCGAACGATGATCTTACGAGAAACGCTCAATCCCATGCGAAAATGCTCCCTGACGTTCGTGGAATCGATGTTAATCACTTGCCTAATATTAACAAATGCCCACTAGACGATAAATTTAGTCTAGATTGTAACATAAATAATGGTTCCCCTAAAGAATTAAATACCAACAACACTAGTGATAACGAAAATACTGCCCTACTGCCCCCTTTGCATTTTCCTGAGTACAAGCATTGATAATTATTAATCGATGACAGATAGTGTCCAAAACATAGTGGTGTGATTTAATCTTGAACTCGCATTTTATACTGAATAGTGTAAATAACGATAAACTATGAATTAACGAACGAGAAGAAAAAAATATAAAAAAAATGAAAAAAAAGAAACGATAATGCGAAAGGAAAAAATAATAATTAACAAAAAAAAAAAGAATAAATAACAAAAGAGAAAGACAGACGAGAGAGAACGAGCAAGCGAGAAAGGGAGGGAGGGTGGGTGGGTTGTTAGAGAGAGAGAGAGAGAGAGAGGAAAACGTAAAACGATAGTAGAACAAAAAATAAAAAATAGAGAAAGAGAGAGAGAGAGAGAGAGAGAGAAAGAAGAAGGGAAAGAAAAAAGATTTAGGGGAGCGACCGAGATAGCCAAAAGGGAAAATATGAGCGGCACGACGGAGTGAAGAAAATACGATCGATATTAAAAATTATAATAAATTAACATTAATCTATATGAAATGTTTATTAATAAACATTAGTAAAACGATTTACTCAAAAAAGACGAAGTGTTGTGTCAGTTTTCAATCATTTCATGCGTACTACTTATACACCGTAGAGAGAGAGAGAGAGTGAGAGTGAGAGAGAGAGTGAGAGTGAGAGAGAG